CGCACGCACGTACACGCACACTGCCGCACACGCACGTACTCAAAAAACACAACAGTGCACTCACGCACACACACACACACACCCACACACACACGCACGCACATGCGTTCACACGAACACAAATGAACGCACATACACCCACACGCACGCGCACACACAAACTCACACACCCACGTGCGCAAGCACACGCTTACACCCGCGCGCGCGCCCACACACATACACACACACACACACACACACACACACACACAAACACGTACTCAGACGAATACCTTATGTCGCCGTTTCCGCCACTTCCGCTACAAGAAGGGGCATTGTCGAGTTATTCGTTAAAAAAAAGTGGTTTATTTCGATCACAAGGATCATAGATGTTAGTAATAATAAAAATCTTAAAACTAATTTTAGTAAAACTTAAAACTATTTACTTAATTTTAAAACTATATCTAAGACAGGCCCGATTAGTCAGCACGTGCACCATATGACAATGGTGCAGGTACTGACCTCAAACCTGTCAGAAAATGCCCTCAGGATACCATTCGAACTGGCCCGCACCCTGCGCACCAGGAATGTGCATCGTTTATGCATCGTGGTGTAGAAACAATTCACACGCGCATCCGCAAAACATACCCCGCGCATTACAATAACGACGCAGACCCAACAGCACCCAGAATGCATTATTATATTGAACACTCATTAAATCTGTAGCTTGTACCGCCAAAGATACGAAACGGCAACGTCGCGGCTGCTTTCAGCCAATCCGATCGTTTATCTTATCGTTTGCTGTGCTCTGGTTGGCTCATTTAAATCGGATCAATATTTTCCGTAACCATCGCAAGGTGGATTTTTATATCGGGTCAACTTCGGCAAACGCTGGCAAACAGTCTCGTGAGTGCAGATGTTGATCCGGTCGGAGCCACATTAGTTACCAGAGATGCATATTGGATCAACAAAAGGCGCCGGATCAACATGCGTTTTCGGATCAACAAAGTGCTCGCGTGAAGTCGCGTCTGATCAACATTTACCGTAAAGAGACCTCTCTCTCTCTCTCTCTCTCTCTCTATATATATATATATATAAGTTTGGACGAACTCACGACGTGCGTCGACGCTTTCTTTTGAGAATTTTTTACAATTAAACAACTTATGATTTAGAGTACAAAAGGCACAAGTCACTAAAGTAGTGGCAACATGAGTACAGTTCGCCTTTTCGACCCTTTGAACCCTGGTATCCAAAAACTCTAAAGACCGAAATCTACTTTGCAAAAACTCCTCAAATTGATTAAGACTTGGCAAATCCTGAACAGAATCAGAAACCCTTTGTTCCCATTGCTTGCGGAATTCGGGATCCAATTTTTGAGCAATGAGAAAAATTATAATTGTGTTCCAGTCACCAGTTTTAACGCCAATATTTTCTAGTGCATGTAAGCATTCTTTAGTGGTATCTAATAATTGTTTAATGGCACCCGCGGACTCTGATATTAAAGCCTTTTTGGCTAGTTAACCTCTTTAAAATATTATTAGCCAAAATTCTTTTATTGTTATAGCGACCTTCTAAATGTTCCCAACAGACTCGATAATTATCCGACGTTATTGGAATATGTCGCAATAATTGTTCTGCTTCACCTGTTACACTACTTTTAAGATAATGAAGTTTTTGGACATCGTCGATACCAGGGTTCTTGCGTACTAAGGAAGTGAATAAATCACGGAAGCTCACCCACTCTGTGTATTTCCCAGAAAATTTGGGCAATGTAATTTTCGGCAAGCTAACTGAAGGTTTCTCGCTAGCTGTATTAACAGGTTCTACAATATTATTAGTACTATACTTTAACAATGTTTCCTTTAATAATGTTTTATATTCTAAATAAAGTTCCTCAGTTTGATCATAAATATCCCCTGTGTGATAAATAGATTTTTCTAAATCCTCTTTCTTAAGTTCATATACAATTTTACGGTGATTTTGAGAAAACACAGTCCAATTGCTCTCCAAAGATTCTAATCGCGTTTCAATATATGATTTTGTAATTCTTTCCTTAGGGGATTTTTTGAAATTTATTTGAGATTTTTTAATTTTTGATGCAATATCTTCTTGAACTTTTACATAATTCTCCGCCATTATTCACAAAGTTTACAGTTATAAATGAATATAAACAAAAAATATTTAAAAACTCGATAGCAATCTTCAAAAAAATACTGAGGAAATAATTTAATACACACGCTCACTTAACATTAAATACAAGCCCCTGTAGATCGACAACAAAATTTTACAAGTCCAAGTTTACACGAAATTATTCTAAGTGTTGAATTGACATAGAAAATTTTACAAGTCCGAGATTGCACGAAATTATTCTAAGTCTTTTTGACTTGTAAAATTCGCTCTGAAAACCGGCATGGATTCCCCGTAGGTACACTTTTGGCGAAATTATTCTAAGTCCTAAACACTTGTAACTTTTTACTCACTTCACATGCACTACCTTTGAAAACTTTACAAGTCTAGTTCCTCTTGATAATAAGGTTCAAATTTGTACTCACGGTTTAATCTTCACATAAACTCACACGTCACGTCGATGGCTCCCGGCGATGCTCCTCCCCCTCTGCGCCTGCTGCGATCCTGTGGGTGTCACAGGGGAACTCCGCCTCCTCAGCAGTCTGTTCCGGTGATGTCCCAAGAGGGCACCTCCCCCTCTACGTATGCCGCGATCCGGTGGGTGTCACAGGTGAACTCCTCCCCCTCAGCAGGCCGCTTCGGTGATATCCCAACACGGGCTCCGCCCCCCTTGCCTCGATGAATGTCCCGGGGGCTGCTCCGCCTGCTGTAGCTCCATCCACTGATGCGGTTGCACTTGCGCCGGCACCCGTTGTGGCCAGCAATAGCACCATTGACAGCAAGCCACTGCCCGTTCGGCGCCGCACTGGACTTTGTACAGGTGAACTTCACACCGCCTCAATCCGGCTCGAAGGACCAATGAACAATGTTCCAAAAATTAAAATAAAACACAGTACTCAATGGTGAGAATAGGTACCAACCAATTTTATTCGCCCAGACTACATGTAGTACAAAAAAATCAATATATCATGATACAGAAATTTTAATACGCCATCTAGCGCCGTTGCTTTGAACTTACATAACACGAACATTGTTTGTGGTTATGAAAATAATAATTAATCGGGTCTTAACACTCGGCATACCTGGTTCTACTAGTCCAGGTGTTACAGTGTTAGTAACCGAAGTACACCTTCAGGTCACTTCAGCAAGTCCGGAGGTAAGGACTCATCATAACTAACAAAATGAGCCCAAACTCAGCACACCCAGTTCTACTAGTCCAAGAGTTCCACTAGTAATCCCGAATTACATCTCATGTAATAGTTCGATTCTATACCTATCAATTTTGTAAACGCGTCCTTAAAAATCTTGATTATGAAGATGTATAAAACATGTTAACTGGTTTATGGTAAACACGCACACACACACACACACACACACACACACACACACACACACACACACACACACACACACACACACACACACACACACACGCACAAACAAACACGCAAGCGCGCGCAAATATGCACACATACGCACACGCACAAACGCATACACACACTCACACACGCACACCGCCGCACACACTCAAATACAACAGTGCACACGTGCACACACGCACACCCATTTACACATACATACACACACACACACACACACACGTACACGTACACATACGCACATGCACACATATGCACACACAAACACACACACACACACACACATACTAGCAAAACACACACACACACACATACACATACGCACATGCACACATATGCACACAAACACACACACACACACAACACAACCACACATACACACACACCCCACAATACACATACGCACATGCACACATATGCACACAAACACACACACACACACACATACACATACGCACATGCACACATATGCACACACACTTACACACACACACAAACACACACACACACACGCACGCAAACACGCACTCAGACGAATACCTTATGTCGCCCTTGCCACCACTTCTGCTACAAGAAGGGGCGTTGTCGATTAATTCGTTTAAAAAAAAGTCGTTTATTTCGACCACAAGGATCATACATGTTAGTAATTAATACAAATCTTAAAACTAATTTTCGTAAAACTTAAAACTATTTACCTAATTTTAAAACTATATATAAGACAGGCCAGATTAGTCAGCACCCTGCGCACCAGGGATGTGCATCGTTTACGCATGGTGGTGTAGAAACAATCCACACGTGCATCCGCGAACATACCCGGCGCATTACAATAACGAGGTAGACCAAACAGCACCCTGAATGCATTACATAACACGAATTTGATCTGTAGCTTGTACCGCCAAAGATACGAAACGGCAACGTCGCGGCTGCATATAGCCAATCCGATCGTTTATGTTATCGTTTGCTGTGCTCTGATTGGCTCATTTAAATCGGGTCAACATTTTCCGTAACCCTCGCAAGGTGGATTTGTATATCGGATCAACTTCGGCCAACGCTGGCAAACAGTCTCGTGAGTGCAGATGTTGATCCAGTTGGAGCCACATTAGTTACCAGAGATGCATATTGGATCAACAAAAGGCGCCGGATCAACATGCGTTTTCGGATCAACAAAGTGCTCGCGTGAAGTCGCGTCTGATCAACATTTACCGTAAAGAGATCTCTCTCTCTCTCTCTCTCTCTCTCTCTCTATATATATATATATATATATATATATATATATATATATATATATATCATGTCTGTGCGCGAACAACCGCTGAGCAACAACGTTTGTCATTACTCTCCGTGTTCACTTGAATCGTGCAAGTAAACAGGTTTTGTTGCAGCTGCCTGCGCGCATTGTATCTACTACGTCATACGGCCTACCAAGGTACCTAACGATACTTTATTAAAACGAAAATAAATAATATTTATTTTTGTTTACATTCTAATCGATATTACTTTGGATTTTGTACTACTATGCTGCGTTCACCATCCAAGCCATTCTCATCTAACCCAGATTTGAGCATAGAAAATGATGCATTACAAAATGTGTCACTGCGGAAACGCAAACAACCTGACTGTGAGTTAACGGAATCTTTTAAGCAATTTACACATATGATGCAAAATATGCTCAAAGATTTGAGAGAAGATTTAAATAATAAAATATCAAGCATTAGTGAGAATATCGATTTAATGCGGTCCGACTTGGATACTCTATCTGTCACCACGAAGGATATAAAGGGTGAACTTGCGTCTCTGCGTCATGACCAGACTAATTTAAAACAGAAATTACACCTAATAGAGAACAAGCATGATAACTTACAAAAAGATGTATTGGAGATCCAAAATGCACTGGACTTTAATTGTGTCATGAATGACAAATTGGGACAACGCGTTGGAAAGCTAGAGACCGATTGTGTAAAAAATAATAAAACCGTCGAAATTATATCTTCTCTTAAGTCGAAGATTGAAGCTTTGGAGCAGCATGCTAGGAGCTGTAACATTGAGATATGTGGTGTCCCAGAAAAAGGGATGAAAACTTGATGGAACTAGTGGCAAATATTGGTAAACATATTAATCTATCTATTCAGCAGAGAGATATCATTTCTATTCATCGTGTTCCACAAGTGCAAACCCATACAAATCGACCAAAAAATATTATTGTAAAGGTTTCATCACGAATATTAAGAGATAACATACTGAGCACGTTTCGCAAGGCTAAAGGTGTTACAACCAATGATATTGGCATTTCTGGTGTACCCAAGTTGGTTTTTATGAATGAGCATTTAACATTGGAAAAGAAGAAGCTCTTTCGTGACTGCCGTGAAACTGCAAAGAAAGAGAACTACCAATACGTTTGGATTAAGCACGCTACAATACTTATACGGGAATCAAACAACCATGCGGCTATCGCTATACGAACTCAGGGAGACATCTCTAAGATTAAAGCCGGTTCTAGTAAGAAACTTAGCGATATTTCCAAATAGTTTAGCATCTATTTACTATCCTAAAATAGTGTTTTTTATTTTTTCTATTTTTGTAATTATATTTGTTTTTTGTCGTAGCTCATTTGCTATTGATATGGTATATCAATTGGATCTAACAAGATTAAGTGTATGTGCAGTTGTATTGTTAATAAAGTTGTTTCATCGCCTTATTAAAGTTGGAAGTGTACGCAATCATCTATTATGTAAAGTATCATATTGTACGGGGTTCGTATTTATTATATATTTTTTATGCCTAAATGCGACGTTTTCATATCATTGCATGGTAACATTAATTTATTATTCTGACTATAAGAATGGTTAATATAGTGTGTTATTATCAAAACTGCAGAATTATCAAAACTACTAAGCTACATACGTTGTGAATATTTTATCCCATGCCTATGATCTTATTATTCTGACGGAAACTTGGTAAATACCAGAAATTGATAATAGCGAATTCATAGATCAGCGTTATACAGTTTACCGTTGTGATCGCAATCGTAGCGTTACTGGCAAGAGTGACGGGGGTGGTGTTTTGATTGCAGTTCTGAAGGGTTTAAGACCTATGCCTATTATCCCGGGGTATCAGAACACTTTGTTGGATAGCATTGAGAATGTGTGCGTTTGCCTTCCTAGCTCATGTGGCTTTAAGCGTCATATTATTGCTGCAGTCTATATATCTCCTAAAACTTCAGTTGATACATATTCTGCGTATTTAGAGCTATTAACCACATTTCTTGAAGATACCTCCGTAGTAGGATTTTCATTTTTTGGTGATTATAATTTACCTGAGATCACATGGGTTCTTAAAGATGGATATATTGGAGCCTTGGACTGTAGTGCATTGTCACCACTATCTACCCAACTTTCTAACTTTATGTCGCTTCATGATGCTAGTCAGTATAATTTCATTAAAAACATTCGAGGTAATATACTAGATTTATTGATTTCCAATATTGAATGTAGTATCACTCCGCTTACGAATACTCTTTTACCTAGGGACAATCATCACCCGCCGTTTAATATTAATTTCATATTTAATACCACACCATTACCTACTATGCGTCGACAATCTATTTTGAAGTACAACTTCCACAAAGCTATTGTAGTTATTTATAATTGAAGATTTGAATAAACAAGACTGGTCTTCATTGCTAAATACGAATGATGTCGAATAGGCAGTTGAGATTTTTTATAATATAGTTTTTAATATAATCGATAAACATACTCCACCAATGTCCTCCAGATCTGCAAGATATCCGGTGTGGTTTACATCTTCGCTAATTCACATCGCAAAGAACAAACGAAAATCATGGGTTAGATGGAAAAAGTATAAAAATGCATCTGATTATGAACAGTTCTCAATTTATAGGCAACGTTTCAAATTGGAAGCTCGTAAATGTTTCTCTAGATATATAAGCTCAGTTGAAAATAGTATTCAAAATAATGTTAAACATTTTTGGTCTTTCATTTCCAATAACAAAACATCGTCTTGTGTTCCCTCGCATATGTGTTATAATGGTTTTGTAGCCGGTGAACCTGATAAGATCTGTGACTTATTCTCTGAGTTTGGCCCACATGGACTTCCAGCTCTCTTTTTAGTTAAAACTGCTGATAGTATTTGTAAGCCTCTGTGTATTATTTATAACCAATGTATTGCAGCTGCGATCTTTCCTGAGATCTGGAAAAGGGCATATATAGTGTCTGTACATAAAAACGGCTCAAGGCATGAGGTGGAGAATTACAGACCAATCTCTATTCTGTCTGCCTTGTCGAAGCTTTTCGAAAGATTGGTTCATAACGAAGTTTATCCAGTTATACATGATAGCATTTTGAAAGAACAACATGGCTTCGTAAAGGGAAGATCCACTATCACTAATCTCATGATCTATGTATCCTTTCTTTTTGATAATATGGACAATAATGCTCAAACGGATGCTATATATACCGACTTTCGAAAAGCCTTCGACAAGGTAGACCATGAACTGCTTTTAAATAAAATTGCCTATAATGGCATACGGGGTAATCTGTTACGCTGGTTTTCGTCATACATTATGAACAGAAGCCAAAAAGTAGTTATCAATGGGTTTCAATCTCAGAGTATTCATGTGACTTCAGGCGTGCCACAAGGATCCATCCTTGGCCCGCTTTTATTTATAATTTTTATTAATGATTTAGGACAGTGTTTTCACAATTGTAACTTCTTGTTGTATGCAGACAACTTAAAAATTTATAAATCTATAACATCTATCTCTGATTGCTTTCTAATACAACAGGATTTGAACAGACTTTCTGAATACTGCAATGACAATAAACTGCATTTAAGCCTGTCGAAATGTAGTTATATAATTTTTTCAAAAAAACATCATATTATACATTATAACTATTCTCTTTGTAATGTCTTATTAAACAAAGTCACATCTTTGCGTGATTTAGGTATCATATTGGATAATAAGTTGCATTTGGATCTCCATATTGAAAAAAATGTTAAAAAAGCCTTTCAAATGTATGGTTTTGTGATGAGGTCATGTAAGAACTTTAAGAAACCCTGTACGTATCTTTATCTTTATAAGGACTTGGTACGCTCCCAACTTGAGTTTGCCGTACCAATATGGAACCCTCTGTACAATAAGTATGTAGACTTAATTGAAAATTTTCAGCGTAAATATCTGCGATCCATGCACTACAGATGTTATGGCACATTTATGTCATATGATCAGTTGTTGAATAGGTATAAACTGCGTTCTCTTCAGTTTAGGCGTAAACTCCTTGTATGTATGATACTTAATGGTATCATTAATAATAAATTTGATTGTACTGACTTGACCAACAGATTATGTTATATTGTCCCAAGAACGGTTCATAGGCGGGAGGTGCGCGTTCGTAAACTGTTCGCAACTGCCAAATGTCGTACCAAAGCGGGTATCCGCTCACCTTTGCGTCAAATGATCGATATCTATAATGATAACTTTGTTGACTCTGACATATTCCATCTTTCTGAGTTTCAATTCAAGCGTTACATCTGTAATACACTTTTAAGTGAGTTTTTTTAACCATTTTTTTAACTCTTTTGATACGTTATGTCGCTATTTAGATTTAGATGGATACTTTTTTATTACACATCACTTATACCATAGATAATGTATGGAATAAAATGTTGTGCGTTGTGCAGTTGCGCAGTTCTTAACAACAATCTCTCCTAGATCATCTTTATAAATATGTTAATTGTAATTATGTTCTGTTAATGATTAATTTTGTATTACGTGCAGTCGCTGACAATGGAATGTGTACACTTTAATTAAGTACAAACTTTAATATTACTTTAATAATGGTAAACGCAGGTGCTTACATCTTATTGTTGGTGACTGTACCTAACTACTTCCTCAATATCAGCTGTTGTTGCTTAGCATCTGATCGCGTCCGATAATTTATATATAAGTTCACATTTGTTAATATGTGGATAGTGTATTTGACTACATATTTATTCTTATTTTTACATTAGCTAACATTATTTTGTGTAAGATTATACTATGTAGTTGTTTGCTATTGCTAATAAAGAGAATATATATATATATATATATTCTCTTTATATATATATATATATATATATATATATATATATATATATATATATATATATATATAGCTTGAACTGGCACAATACAGACTTTCGTTTCGACCAGAGTTTGTTAAATTTTTAACAGAATCTACATCAACAGAAGGACCAGATGTCCGAGAACTTTCAATTAATGCACTGCATTTTGGGGGCCGATTATTTCAACAATATTTGGTTGATACTTACATTAGTGTAGAGCGTGGCCGTATTCAGTGGATAAAATATAACCAAAATAAGATTTTAGCTGAACAATATACGGGAGTAACCAGTTTCCTTAATCAACTTGCCGAAAAGAAAAATTCCACAGTTGGTAAGAGGATTATTTTACCCTCCTCTTTTCCTGGTTCGACGAAGTATTACACGGAATATTTTGAAGATGCCATGGCTATTGTTCGACGGTTTGGATCACCTGATTTCTTTATCACCATGACATCAAATCCTAATTGGCCAGAAATAAAAAAGGCATTGCAAATACATTTAGAAGATAAAACAATCTCGCAACAGCTTCCACAAGATCATCCTGATATCGTGGCTCGAGTCGCTAAGTTAAAATTTGACCAAATATTAGAAGATTTAGATAAAAAGCAAGTCTTTGGAAAGGTATCGGCTTTTGTATACGCCACAGAATTTCAGAAACGTGGATTACCACACATGCACCTGCTTATAATTATGAAACCCGGTGACAAGATTCATCAAGCAGAAGAGCTCGATGACTTGATGTCATCCGAAATACCCCAAAATGATGACTTAGAGTTAAGAGAATTAGTTCTCAAATGGATGATTCACAACCCATGTGGTGATTTAAATACCAACGCAATATGTATGGTTCACAAAAATGGGAGAACATAATGTTGATTTGATTTTCCAAAATCGTACCAGGAAGTTACATCTTTAGTAGATGATAGTAAACCATATTACCGACGACGCTACAATCCGCAGTTGGACCCTAATAGTCCCCAATTTTCACACGAACATGCAGTTTATCGCAAAAACATAAACGGTCGTCGTATAACACGAGATAATCGTCATGTAGCCCCCCTACAACGCATATTTATTGAAAAAATTTAATTGTCATATTAACGTTGAGTACGTAGGGAGTATTTTGGCTATGAAATATCTTTATAAATACATTTATAAAGGATATGACTGTGCATCGATCAAAGTTGTAGAAGAATAAAGGACCCTGATTTATAATGAAGCAAATACATACATTGAAGAACGTTGTGTCACGTCACCAGAAGCATGCTGGTGTAGTGTGCAAAATATTAATTGATGTAAATTACTTTATAAATAACAGTAAATTAGTTAATTCTTTAGTGTAATTGTAATATTTAATTTTAAATTATTTCTATATAAATTTATATTTCATAATTACAGACATGCCATTCTACAGAAATTATATATATATATATATATATGTATGTGTATATATATATATGTATATATAAATATAAATAAATTTTGGTTGCTCCATGAAAATTTGTCCATGCAAACAACAGTCACCAAAAGAATTCCTTTTAATATATAATTTATAAGATTAGAAACGCGTTCTTCCGGAAAGTGCAATGCACCGCAATGTATACACAAAATTTCAAATGGTCCTAAGGGCCGATATTGCACAGCTGCAGTAATGGCACATTTATATGTCGGTAAAAAATTATTAAGTCCTAAAGCCCTACGACGTCTTCTGTCTCGACGTCTTTGCTCTTCTAATCGGTATTCTCATTGTTCTTCATTTTCAGTAGCTATACGTTGTTGGTTATTTATTGTTCTGTCATCTTCTGCACTGAAGGATGCTAGAGCAAAAGATGCGTTTATTATATATATATATATATATATATATATATATATATATATATATATATATATATATATATATATGTATATTTATGAAATTCTTCCGAATATGAGTGACGGTTTAAAAAGAGACGTACTAACTCATTTGAAAATTTTGGTTACTCCATGATAATATATATATATATATATATATATATATATATATATATATATATATATATATATATATATATTTATATATATATATATATATATATATATATATATATATATATATATATATATATATATATATATATAATATATATATATTCTTATTGACGTCTATTGGCGAGTAATAATACTATTTTTCAATTGGGAGCAACTAACTGCTTTAATGACACAGCAACACTAAAGGTACTTCAGTTGATGGCGTTGCTAAGCAACGCTAAGCCAATGAATGTTTGGTTTGACGTTAGACCAAGAAAAGCAATTGTTTACTTATATTATTGATAAAATAGGTGTCTTTTTACTCACGTGTTCAATTAAAAATACCTAAAAGATCCTTGAAAAACGTTCTTATAAACAATCTAACTTCTCGAAGCCGCGACTCGTCTCAAGAACACTTTGAAGACAATCGTCATCAAACACAAACAGGTCAGGTTTCTCAAACTTCACACAGTGAAGACTTATTTCAAGAAAGCCTTCATGAAAATAGTCATGTTTCCGCTTGTCCCACACGTACTGCTAAAGTAAGATGTTTGCAAAACTTGACTAACATTATACGGGCAGAAAGGTCATATGATTTAGATGTTTCACGAGATCGTGCGTCACAACGTGTGGCCACTGAAAACGACGAGCAACGGGAACGACGTCTAAAAGATTTGCGGCAGCGTGCGGCACAACGTGTTGCTACTGAAAATGACGAACAACGAGAGCTACGCCTACAAGATTTGCGGCAACGTGCGGCACAACGTGTAGTTACTGAAAATGATGAAAAACGAGAGCGACGTTTGCAAGATTTGCGGCAGCGTGCGGCACAACGTATAGCTACTGAAAATGAAGAACAACGAGAATACCGATTAGAAGAGCAAAGACGTCGAGACAGAAGACGTCGTAGGGCTTTAGAACTTAATATTTTTTACCGACATATAAATGTGCCATTACTGCAGCTGTGCAATATCAGCCCTTAGGACCATTTGAAATTTTGTGTATTCATTGCGGTGCATTGCACTTTCCAGAAGAACGCGTTTCTAATCTTATAAACAGAAATTCTTTTGGTGACTGTTGTTTGCACGGACAAATTTTCATGGAGCAACCAAAATTTTCAAATGAATTAGTACGTTTCTTTTTAAACCGTCACCCATATTCGGAAGAATTTCATAAAAAAATAAGAAAGATAAACGCATCTTTTGCTCTAGCATCCTTCAGTGCAGAAGATGACAGAACAATAAATAGCCATGGCATTTATAGTTTTATCGTTTGCGGACAAGTGTATCATAAAATGTTTATGACAGCTCACCCGACGCAAAATGATTTTGGTATTTTTGAACGGCCACTGTACGGGCAACTATAATTTTTAGATCCTGATGAAGCCGTTAATGAAAGAGTTAACCATCCACTTAATTCTGGAATTACCATCTCCATGATGAAGTTATTGGAGTTCATAATTCGAGCGCATAATCGCTATGTACAGGGATATATAATGATGCGAGAAGTAGAGGACGAAATGAATCGGTTAACTTCTACTCAAGGGTTACCCCCACCATACGTAACACTTTTATTTAGAGTTCCAGATTAAGTTGATCGCAGAAGGTTTAATATACCGGCGTGTAATGAGGCTTGTGCAGTTTTTACACTAAATGCTGATCAAAGCTTTCTAGATAATGAAATGATTGTTCACCAGCGCAATAAAAAGATTGTCTATTTAAAGAATGTTGATAGGAGAATTGAGCCATTTACTTACCCATTATTTTACCCAGCCGGCACAGATGGTTATAGCCCGGATTTGCAGTTACAAACGTCTTATTCCAGCCGCAGTCATTTAACTCGGGCTTGAACTGGCACAATACAGACTTTCGTTTCGACCAGAGTTTGTTAAATTTTTAACAGAATCTACATCAACAGAAGGACCCAATGTCCGGGAACTTTCAATTAATGCACTGCATTTCGGGGGCCGATTATTTCAACAATATTTACTTGATACTTACATTCGTGTAGAGCGTGGCCGTATTCAGTGGATAAAATATAACCAAAATAAGATTTTAGCTGAACAATATACGGGAGTAACCAGTTTCATTAATCAACTTGCTGAAAAGAAAAATGCTACAGTTGGTGAGAAAATTATTTTACCCTCCTCTTTTCCTGGTTCGACGAGGTATTACACGGAAAATTTTGAAGATGCCATGGCTATTGTTCGATGGTTTGGATCACCTGATTTCTTTATCACCATGACATCAAATCCTAACCGGCCAGAAATAAAACAGGCATTGCAAATACATTTAGAGAATAAAACAGTCTCGCAACAGCTTCCACAAGATCGTCCATATATCGTGGCTCGAGTCGCTAAGTTAAAATTTGACCAAATATTAGAAGATTTAGATAAAAAGCAAGTCTTTGGAAAGGTATCGGCTTTTGTATACGCCATAGAATGTCAGAAACGTGGGTTACCACACATGCACCTGCTTATAATTATGACACCCGGTGACAAGATTCATCAAGCAGAAGAGCTCGATGACTTGATTTCATCCGAAATACCCCAACATGATGACTTAGAGTTAAGAGAATTAGTACTCAAATGGATGATTCACAACCCATGTGGTGATTTAAATACCAATGCAATATGTATGGTTCACAAAAATGGAAGAACAAAATGTCGATTTGACTTTCCAAAATCGTACCAGGAAGTTACATCTTTAGTAGATGATGGTAAACCAAATTACCGACGACGCTACAATCCGCAGTTGGACCCTAATAGTCCCCAATTTTCACACGAACATGCAGTTTATCGCAAAAACATAAACGGTCGTCGTATAACACGAGATAATCGTCATGTAGCCCCCTACAACGCAAAAATTTAATTGTCATATTAACGTCGAGTAGGTAGGGAGTATTTTGGCTGTGAAATATCTTTATAAATACATTTATAAAGGATATGACTGTGCATCGATCAAAGTTGTAGAAGAACAAAGGACTCTGATTTATAATGAAGCAAATACATACATTGAAGAACGTTGTGTCACGTCACCAGAAGCATGCTGGTGTAGTGTGCAAAATATTAATTGATGTAAATTACTTTATAAATAACAGTAAAATAGTTAATTGTTTAGTGTAATTGTAATATTTAATTTTAAATTATTTCTATATGAATTTATACGGACATACCACGGACATACCATTCTACAGAAATTATATATATATATATATATATATATATATATATATATATATATATATATATATATATATATATATATCAGCAGTATCAGCAGTGGCTTGTTTAATGCAGCGGTCGGTGCAAGGGCGACTCAACAACAGCAAACCGGTTCACCGCTGGCTGCCCTTGCTACGAGAGTTCGCACCATGCCACCAGTACGTTTACGTAGGCCATACTGTTCGTTTGTTGACTATTTACTTGTGATAAGAAACTGTTATTATAATTAATTCGTTCGTTTGAGACTCTTAGTTCCTGTGCTATCTTTCTATATATTACTATCACTCTATTCTCCTTCTGTGTGTTGTAAACACTTGTAACTTGTGTAAGTTATAATTATTTAAACTGAAATACTATTGAATTTTATTTTACTTACACAAGCAGCATAACAAATATTAAATTGAACTATTAAGTGGTGACCCCGTAAAAGTGCACAATATAATTATGAGTGAGAAACAAGAGGCCGCCGAACAAAATCTCGCCTCATCATCCGATGTTTATCGAGTCTGTGTTCGAATACCGCCATTTTGGCCGGAAAAACCAGCAATTTGGTTCGCGCAAATCGAAGGACAGTTTGCGATTTCAAATATAACAGCAGATGCGACGAAATTCTATTACATAGTTAGTCAACTCGAACCGCAATATGCATCCGAGGTCGAAGATATAATTATCTCCCCTTCAAACACAGATAAGTACGAAAAGCTAAAAACAGAACTTATCAAATGGCTGTCGGCGTCTAGAGACAGGAAAGTAAAACAACTTCTAATGCATGAAGAACTAGGCGATAAAAACCTTCACAATTCCTACGGCACTTACAATATTTGGCTGGACCAGGCATACCTGACGACTTTCTTCGAACTATCTGAATGAGTCGATTACCAAACAGCACGCAAACTATAATAGTGTCACAAACGACCACTTCTCTTGAGGTACTAGCGGAGCTAGCCGATAAAATTCACGACGTGGTTCCTCCATATCCACATCCACAAGTAGCGTCTTCACCAAGCCATGCACCAGAGGACAGAGTACAGAAGCTGGAAGGTCAAATAGCTGAGCTCACCAGGCAAGTGAAGACCCTAACGACTCAACTAAACAACAGACGTCCTAGATTACGAAGCAGAAGCCGCTCAAGAAGCAACACCAGGTCACCTTCTAGTCACAGGAGGTTCCCTGGTATCACAATAAATATGGCGATCGTGCAAGTAAGTGCATTAAACCATGGGATTATACCCAGTCGGGAAATGTGCAAGGCAATCGGTAACGGCGACCTACGATTGCCCAAGTACTGGTCGCTTATTCGTTACTGACCGCAACACGACGATGCAGTTTCTCGTTGATACAGGCAGCGATCTCCGTGTTTTCCACGAGCGGCAATGAAAGAGAATAGGCACAAGACTAATTATCAACTAAGTGCAGCAAATGGTTCGATAATAAATACTTATGGGTATGTTCATTTAATGTTAAATTTAGGCTTGCGACGTGACTTTAATTGGCAGTTTGTTGTAGCAGATATTACAAAAGCAATTATAGGTGTAGATTTTTTGTCATTTTACAATTTGGTTGTCGATTGTAGAAATCAGCGCCTCATAGACAGTGTCACTACACTCTCCACCACGGCTTTGCCTGCTAATTTAGATATATTTTCTGTTAAGATTACTACTGGTGATTCGGTTTATCATGATGTCTTAAAAGAGTTTCCTGATATTACACGCCCATCGGGAGTTCACCATGTGCCAAAGCACAATACAGTGCACAATATTCGGACCACTCATTTTCAGTAGTTGTTCATCATTTTCAGTAGCTACACTTTGTGCCGCACGTTGCCGCAAATCTTGTAGGCGTCGCTCTCGTTGTTCGTCATTTTCAGTAAAAACACGTTGTGTCGCACGCTGCCGCAAATCTTGTAGACGTCGTTCCCGTTGCTCGTCATTTTCAGCAACTTAGACTTCTTCTTATTTTCATTAGCAACACGTTGTGTCGCACGCTGCCGCAAATCTTGTAGACGTCGTTCCCGTTGCTCGTCATTTTCAGTAGCAACACGTTGTGTCGACTGCCGCAAATCTTGTAGACGTCGTTCCCGTTGCTCGTCATTTTCAGTAGCAACACGTTGTGTCGCACGCTGCCGCAAATCTTGTAGACGTAGTTCCCGTTGCTCGTCATTTTCAGTAGCAACACGTTGTGCCGCACGCTGCCGCAAATCTTGTAGACGTCGTTCCCGTTGCTCGTCATTTTCAGTAGCAACACGTTGTGTCGCACGCTGCCGCAAATCTTGTAGACGTCGTTCCTGTTGCTCGTCATTTTCAGTAGCAACACGTTGTGCCGCACGCTGCCGCAAATCTTTTAGACGTCGTTCCCGTTGCTCGTCGATTTCAGTGGCCACACGTTGTGACGCACGATCTCGTGAAACATCTAAATCATATGACCTTTCTGCTAGTATAATGTTAGTCAAGTTTTGCAAACATCTTACTTTAGCAGTACGTGTGGGACAAGCGAAAATCTGACTATTTTCATGAAGGCTTTCTTGAAATGAGTCTTCACTGTGTGAAGTTTGAGAAACCTGACCTGTTTGTGTTTGATGAAGATTGTCTTCAAAGTGTTCTTGAGACGAGTCGCTGCTTCGAAAAGTTAGATTGTTTATAAGAACGTTTTTCAAAGATCTTTTAGTCATTTTTAAGTGAACACGTGAGTAAAAAGACACCTATTTTATCAATAATATAAGTAAACAATTGCTTTTCTTGGTCTAACGTCAAACCAAACATTCATTGGCTTAGCGTTGCTTAGCAACGCCATCAACTGAAGTAGCTTTAGTGTTGCTGTATCATTAAAGCAGTTAGTTGCTCCCAATTGAAAAATAGTATTATTACTCGCCAATAGACGTCAGTAAGAATATAATATATATATATATATATATATAAAAAAATATATATATTCAATTCATGTTTAAGTTGATTATTATTATTACTATGTTTATATGTGACAAACACTATGTTTAATCACAGGAAAATCCATATGTACACTAGAGAAAGAAAGAATGAGAGAAGTATGATTGATGTGTTTCTGGTGGATGACCGACTGCGAAAACAGGTGATGGATACACGAGTGTTCAGGGGTGCTGACCTGGGGACGGATCATTATCCAGTAATTACTAGATTTAGGGTTTTTCGCGGGTTGGCGCTACCGGACGGCAGTAACAGAACCACAGTCGGTCTGTCGCATCCGAAGCTGGAAGCTTCAGGAAGCGGATACTAGGGACAAATATCACACGAGGGTAGCCGAAAAGCTTGACACCATCGATGGCAGGAAAGAATGTATGAAGAGAACATGGCAGAACCTTAGGGATGGAATGGTAAGTGCAGCGGAAGAAGTATGTGGAACGACAGAAAGAGGTAGTAGTAAAAGAAGAGATGCATGGTGGAATGATAAAGTGAGAGAAGCTGTAAAAAAGAAGAAAAAAGCATGGTTAGACTACTTGGCCTCTAGTAACGATGAGCATATGAGAGAGAAGATGAAAGAAAGGTATAAGCTGCAGAAAGTTCAAGCGAAAACATTGATTATATATTGAAACATTTATAACCGCACACCCCCCTCCTCCCATAAGGCCCTCCCTTTTCTTGATTTAATCTAGTTAATTTTACCCCTCCTCCCCCATATCCCCCCTCCATTTTACCAGACATACGGAAACGAGAATAATAATAAATAATATAATAAATTTTAACCATGAATATCACCAAAACCATGGGGTACCGCAGGGTGAGGATGGCACAGGGGTATCCATCCCCCTCTCACCCCTAAAACCTCATATATCGATGGTCCGTATTGGAAAGTTAGTCTCCAAAATTAACGAAATGTGCTCGATACCAAGTACTATTGATACTTTTGATGCGATACTTGATATCGAGTAGGTATCGATACTTTCAAAATTTTCCGAACCCTACACTAATTGAAACGAGAAGTGATTGACGTTTGACATCAATTATTTGTCTAATAAAATAACTTTTAGTGTTAGTTTTTCTATTTATTAAAACATTATAATTTCATTTCATCAATTAGAAAAAATGTTGGCCATTATTTGTCAAATCTATTTTGTAATTGCGTGTTATTTGCCAATTTGTAAGAAAAGTTAAAAAAAATATATATCTTGAACCGTAAGTTTCCGCAACCTAAAACTTTGCAAAACGTTTTCTTTTAGTGAGTACTATCTACAAAAAAAAATATGGGCTTTGAAATCGATGGTCCATATTGGAAATTCCAACCATTATTATTTACAGTGAATTTCGGTTATAACGACGGCGGAAGGACCACTTTAATGTCGTCGCTATATCCGGAGGTCTCTATATCCGAAGTAATAAAAAGTCATGTACATATTTGTTTATCATTTATTTAATTATGTTATACACGGGTGTTATTGAAAAAACGTGTTATAGTGCACTGTTTAAGTTTAGTTTTTGTCCACTCTGTAAGGTGTATTACATTTTCATAATTCCTTCAACATCTAAATTACTCTGGCCTTCACCAAATAAACACTTTGAGCGTTGTTATAGCACATAATACATCTCTAGTTTATTTATTTATTTATTTATTTAGGCTTACCAACTAAACACATACAAAACATTATTATTAAACATTTGCAGTTATAAACAAAATTATACTATATATGTATTTAACTTAAAGGTATGCACAACATTTCAACATGAAACTTAAAATTAGTTTTGAAATTAAGAGATAATAAAATATGATATAAACACAAAGATTATTCTATGCAATACAGGTAAAATTATAATTTGGTAGAGAGCTTAACATTGTATAATTTAGAGTTGTATAATTTAAAGTTTTAATTTTCAGTTTGAGTGTAGTATAGAAATATTTTCTTTTTTAAGGAAACCAGACTATCACTAAAGATATCTATATTACATTTACCGAATATATCATTGTACTTTCTCATCATAGAACATAAAGGTGAGTTGTTACCATACTTTTTGCTATTAAAATTTACACTAAAGGGACTAAAATTACACAACCTTGCCGAAAATCTGGACACCTTCAAGTTAACTTGTGACAGGAGGGATGGACAATCCACACTATTATTAAGTAGTTTATGTAAAAGGCCTATAGATAGCAAATTCTTTCGCTGCTCTAATGATAAAATTTCGAAATGCGCTAATCTTTCAGAGTATTTAAAAATCTTTTTTGGATTCTTTCTATACGCTGAATATTATTTTGATAAGACGGGTACCATACGACTGAACAATAATCAACATGACTGCGAACCAGTGAAAAATAGAGAACTTTTAACGCTAAAACCGACTTAAAATCTTTGGTGTTTCTGAAAATAAAAGCTAACATTCTTAACGATTTGTGTATGGTATTGTTAATGTGGTTCGTGAATCGCATCTGAGAGTCAATAGCAATGCCTAAGTCCTTTACTTCGTCTACTTTCGCTAAATCCACACCATTCATATTGTAACTACTATCATATCTGTTAAATTTTCAAGAGAATTTAATGTGATAGCATTTATTTGTATTGAGAGACATTTTATTTTGGCAGCACCATTCTGTAATTCTATCTTCTATATCCTCTCGAAGTTGAATTTGGTCTGTGTTATTATTCACAATTTTGGATATCTTTAGGTCATCTGCGTATAATTCAAAATCGGAGTAACGGATACAATGCTTAATATCATCAATAAACATTACAAAAAGTAATGGGCCAAGGTGCGAGCCTTGTGGAACTCCAGACGTTGGGATAATTTCTCTAGAAACAAAACCGCTAATGACTACTCTTTGTGTTCGATCTGTGAGATATGAAGCAAACCAATCTAATAAGCATCCATGTACGCCAAATAATGTGTGTAGTTTGTTGATTAGAACTGAATGATTTACTGTGTCAAACGCTTTACTAAAGTCATTATAAATACAATCTACTTCATTCCCTGAGCTCATTCTAGTAAGTGTTCTGTCAACAAATGTAATAAGATTGGATGTAGTAGAGCGTTTTTTAAAAAATCCGTGTTGTTGATCAGCTATAATATGTTTTATATGCCAAGTCAAATAAGGACAAATTAATGATTCAAAAACTTTACCTAAAACTGGAAGAATACTAATAGGTCTGTAGTTGCAGACATTACTTTTATCGCCTGATTTATGTAATGGTATAATTATAGCATCCTTCTAACGTTTCGGAAATATACCTTCAGATAATGATCTATTAAAAATAATATGTAAAGGTATCGTGAGCTCTACTGCGCATTCCTTCAGAAACAAGGGGTGAATCCCATTACTTCCGGCGCCCTTAGTAATATCTAGAGCCTTTAAGCACTTCTCAATACTGTCATTATTTAAATAAAGATTCCCCATGGAGAAAGCAGACTTTGGTATTTCCATTTTGTTTATATGTAAACTAATATCAATAGGTTTATATACTAATTCAAAGTTTTCTGTAAACAGGTCGGAAATTTTTTCTCCATTATTAGCTTCTTTGTCTCCGAATTTCATATCGGACGGTATACAACCATTATTCTTACGTTTATTTTTTATATGAGTCCAAAAGTACTTGGGGTCTTTAATCACGCTCTCAACAACATTTTCAATGTATCTGTCATAACATTTTTTGATTAATGTTTTAGTTCTAACTTTTAAGATATTGTATTCAAGTTTATCTAATTCATTCCTGTACTTTTTAAACTTTTGACGAGATTTTTCCTTTTCTCGTAATAGTTTTACGAGGTTTGTTGTATACCATGGAGGATATGTTTTTTTTGTATGCGACGTGGAACAAATTCAGTGATAACTTTTTTTATAATAGAGTAAAACCTCGATACAACTTCATCAACAGTCGAACAGTTTTGGAACTCCGAAGTCCAGTTGAGGTCGGATAAACGGGCTCGTAATTCGCTAAAAAAAACTTATATTTAGAATTTTATCTTGGAGAGAGCATTTTTGCATTACATAAAACTAAGTCTACTTCAATTGGGGGATGATAGTTATCTATTCGAAAAATTATACTGTTTGATTTTTTAACGGAAATATCACAGATTGTGTTACTCAGCACGAGGTCGAGAATTTTGCCCTGGTGATTAGAGATCTGACTGTATTGCTTTAGATCATAATTGGACAAAAAGTTTACGAATTCATAACCGAAGATATTATCGAAATTGCTGAGTTTAAGCGATAAACCTGCATTAGAACGAGTACAAACAATGTCACGCAGATTAAAATCTCCAAAAATAAGAATATCATTGCATGTATTATTAATGACATTACCAGCATTTTCGGTAAAATGCTTGAGATGAGTTTGATTTAGAGGAGAACGTAAGTAAACTGAACAAACACAGATTCTATAGTTACTCAGCTCTAGGGTTACCCATAAATCTTCACAACGAGATTTAAAATTGTGGTTTCTATAAGCACTAATTGACTTTTCCACAGCGATAGCATCACCACCTCCATCATTATTCTCATTAAAAGTGTTGGATGATCTGTCCCTCCTAAATACTTGATACCTACTATCGAAAATTTCACTATCAAATATACTATCGTTAAGCCAAGTCTCTGTTAATACGATTAAATCGAAATTGTTAGCGCTAACTTCCAAAAAGATATTAGGTAATTTAGTCCGCATACCGCGGATGTTTTGGTAATAAATGTTGAGAGTGAATTTTAAAACTAAAAACAATGACCGTTGCTAAAAAGATATTAAAATCTAATTTAAAGATTTCAAGGTAAACTGGTGTAATATCACTTTTGCTGGATGTTCATCGTCTTTTCTAACAAAAATTCTTCCATTTCATACCCATACATATTTGTAATTTTTCTCTTTCGCCCAGATTCTCGTTGCAGCATTCAGTGATTTATTAGCTTGGGTGAGATTTTCACTGATGTCGACGGCTGATTCAACATCGCCAAAGCCTAAAAGTTTGGTGTTCAATTTTGCTTTGGGATGAGACTTGTTATATTTGTATACAGCTGCAAGTAAGTTGTCGCGTTTTAATTTACTGACAAATCTGCATATAACTGTTTTGGGTACTTTTGAGGATGGGTTTTGTTTTTGAACTCTATTGCAGGCAACAATGTCAGTTTCTGTAGGAGGAAAATTAACTACTTTACTGATTTGCATAAGAGAGTTAACTAAGTTCTCTTGTCTGTGTTCTGGTAGACAATGAATTTCTATATTATTTTGCCTCGAGTCCTGCTCTATAACAGACAACCTCGATTCCAAATCATTGAATTTGCGCTGCATTAGGTTGTTCTCAAGCTGGATTGTTTTATTCACTTCCACACAGGCCTCAACATTATTTTTCATTTCTTCAAACTTATTATTCAAGTAGCTTAACGAATCTTCACAGCTACGTAATTCCTTTCTTAATATGGAAAACTCCTCGCTTATTGCTGATCGTACAATATCTCTTATTTCTTCATGCAAAATATTTCTGACAGCGGACCGCAGGTTGGCAGTTTCTTCATCGAAGCTATTATTTAAAGTATTACCCCGAGTAAAGGTTACATTTTGACGTTCATCGAGTGATTCATGATAGCTTTAGATAAGGAGTTCTTACCGGGTGTATCATTTTTGATTTTATGACGCTGAGTTGTTGACATTTCTTGAATGCAGTCAGGGCATTTCCAGTTAGTCGGCTTTTTAGCACTTGTCAGTTGAACACAAAAGTAATGAAATTGTTTTTTGCAGTTAGTTTGAGAGCAGGAAATCTTTTCATTAGCCTTCAGAGGCTTGTTGCAACCGCCATTACAAGCATTCATTTTTAATAGCAAAAAATAATATAATATAAAAAATATATTATCTTTACAACTCGACCGCCTGAATACAGCACCGCGACGTTCAAATAGTGACTAAACACAGCACGGAGGCACACGAAGCGGGCTTGATGCGTGTTATCGTAGGTCAGCGTCAAAGTTCGTTACAAATAAATTTGAAATATTTTCGCTTATATCTTACGATTCCCTTTGTATTTCACAATTCCGATTTCACCATTGGAAAGAGCACTTTTTAACGAAAATAATGATTATAAACACATGCTATAACAACTAAAATTTACTGCACTTTAGATTTGAAATTCACGGAGCGAAAATAAACACGTCTTATACGTCTTATAATCTCATTTAGATTGCAATCTCCTTCCTCTTCTTTATCCTCCTTTTCTTGTGTTTGAAGCACAGACTCAATAATTTCATTATCAGTCAAGTTATCAGTAGTAATAACTTCATCGTCATTATTCACATAAGTTTCCCAATCCGTAACTGTTGCTTCCGCTGATGATAATCTCGCCATTGGCAAATTGTTCAATTCATCATCAGAATCGTCATCAGTTGTATTTAAATTCGAAAAATTACCAAACCCAGCAGGTGAAAAACATTTTTTTATTGTGTCTGGAGTAAATCGTGCCCATGCTGTTATCATTTCAATGGTATCCAGAAGATTGATGGCAAATGGGGTAGTACTTTTTTCAATGTCGTTTACCATTTTCTCCACTAGAAGCTTTCGATAATGGCCTTTAAGAGTCTTAATTATACCTTGATAAATAGGCTGAATAACTGATCTGACCACCAAACACGGTGGTAAGAATGCCAGTTTGATGTTAGTCAAATTTTGAATTTGTGGGTGAGCTGAACAATTGTCAATAAAAAATGATCTTTTTTTGTTTCCTCTAAGCTGACAGTCCCATTTCCGTAAAACTTTTTCAAAAATCTCCGATGTCATTCACGCTTTTTTGTTGGCTTCGTAATCACCTTGCAAAGTTTTTACATTCTTGAAACACTGGTTTTTTCGCCTTCCCTATAACAAGCAATTTTCGTTTTTCGCCTGCCATACTTGAAGTAATAAGCACGGTTATTCTATCTTTTGATAGTTTGCCGCCAGCACATTTTCTCCTTTGAATTTTAGTGTTCTATCTGGAGTCGTTTAAAAAAATAATCCCATCTCATCAGCGTTCCATATTTGACTGTCGGTATACCCTTCAGTTAATTTTGGTAAAACTATTCTCAACCAAACGTCACAGTCATTTTGCGACACGCTGGCGGTTTTTCCACAAACTTTACCGACAACTATATTTGACGTTGTCTAAATCGGTAAATCCAGCTTTCTGAACATACAAAGTTTGTTTTCCCGATCTGTCTGGCAAAATGATTAGCTTTCTCTTGCAAAAGAGGACCGCTTATGGGTACATTTTGGCTTTACTGAGCTTTAAACCACACTAGGAGAGCATTTTCAATATCTTGATGAGTTGGATTACGATTTTTCTTTATTTTCAGGGATTTTGATTCAAAACACTCCATAATTTTAGCGCGATTTTTCCACATCGTTGTTATTGTAGAATGTGAAACTCTAAATTGTTTACACAGATCCACATGGTTTTCTCCATTTTGCAGTCTAGAAATGATGTCCACTTTTTCTTTAACAGTAAATGTGTTTGTAGCCAGATCAGTTTTTTTAATTTCTATTCAAATATAGCAGAAAAAAATTGTTGAAATAACGTAATTTCCAGAAAACTTCGTTCGAAATAAGTATTTTTTTTCTATTACATAGAAACACTTTTAATTAATTTAAAAAATTACACATTAATCTTAAGATAACCCTTTATTGGAAACTAAATTTTATTTGATAAATAAGTAATAATTTCGTTTATTACTAAATGGCAAAGTGAACTATATTATCGACCGCGCAAAATCGATCCGATCAGTGCCGACCGGGCCTTCCCAGGGCGAGCACGTATCACTTCATCTTGCATCGAAGGCGCTCCCGTGTTTTACGTAAATATTTCCAGAAATTGTACGCCGAACACCAAATTTTGATCAGTGTATTTTTTTTTTTTTGGAAAGTTTGTTTATTAAGAATAATAATATGTTGCACGCCTATTCTTTATATTATAAAAAGTTCAGCTGTGCGTGTTGTCTACGCCAATAGCGAAATAGGTGCGGGGGGCGAACGCGCGGGGAAGGCAGCGGTGATCGCGGCCAACGACGGAACTCGGGCACTTGCAATCACGCATTACTAGAACGCACAACCATTATTGTTATCATTTTTAATCTGCAAGTAAATACATTTTCTACACATTAACTTTTATTTCTTGTACCATAATCACCTACAAGAATAGTGGCGATCGTGACCGGACTCGAACCTGCAATTTTCGGATCTTATTTCCCGCATCATCCTGTGATTCGTGAGGATAGCGAGACTACGCCAGTGCGGGTCGTTTTCAATGCCTCAGCTAAAACTTAGTCATCGAAATCCCTCAACGACATTTAATACGTCGGCCCAGTCGTTTAGGATGACTTATTCAATATTTTAGTTAGATTCAGGCAACATAAATACGTATTTACTGGTGATATACAAAAGTGTTACCGACAAATATTAATAAATGAAGAACAACGCCATCTACAGATGATATTATGGCGAGATGACGAAACTCAACCTCTTCAGACGTGGCAATTAAATACGCTGACATACGGGACAGTCTCGGCACCTTATTTAAGCACTCGATGTCTTTTACAATTAGCACTTGAATGGCCGGACCCGTTGATAGCTGAAGTCATTAAAAAAAGATTGCTACATGAACGATTTATTAACGGGTGCGGACAACGAAGATACTCCTACAAGAATTGTCCTCAAATATTTACTGACTATGCAGAGTCTGAATCACTCGACTTAAGTAAACAGTCAAGCGTGTTAGGCGTACGCTGGACACCGAACAGCGATACTTTTACGTTTGGCATAAATTTAAATCAAAACGATGATGAAATCTCGAAACGTAAAATTCTATCCAATACGTGTAAAATATTCGACCCTTTAGGTCTTATAAGTGCTTGTACAATAACACTCAAAGTCTTTTTACAAAAATTGTGGCAACATAAGCTTAGTTGGGATGAGGAAGTACCCAACAACATAAAAAGGACTTGAGTAAAGTTGACTGATGGTTCAAATGCGCTGCTTTCAGTGCGCGTGCCTAGGCATGTTTTATGCCAATCAGATCCGGTAGCTTGTGAGCTCCACTGCTTCGTAGACGCCTCGCAAGAGGCCTACGCAGCGTGCGTGTACGCTCGCACATTAGACGACTTAAACCACGTAACTGTCAGATTACTTTGCGCTAAGACCCGTGTCATCATCATCATCATGATCATCATCATTACAGCCCTTTACAAGTCCACTACTGAACATAGGCCTCCCCAAAGGTATGCCACAAAGCACGGTCCTGAGCCACCTGCATCCATCGACTTCCTGCATGTCTTACCAGGTCGTCACTCCATCTAGTGGGGTTCGCCCTACACTTCGTCTACCGGTACGAGGCTGCCACTCGAGAACATTTTTTCCCCAACGGTTGTCGGTTCTTCGAGTTATATGGCCGGCCTATCGCCACTTCAGCTTACTAATCCGTTGGGCTATGTCGGTCACTCTGGTTCTACTGCGGATATCCTCATTTCTAAGTTTATCACGCAGAGAAACTCCGAGCATAGCCCTCTCCATAGCTCGCTGAGCGACTTTGAGCGTCCTCATACGGCCAGCAGTGAAGGACCACGTCTCAGTTCCATATGTCATCACTGGCAACACGCACTGGTTGTACAACTTAGTTTTAAGACCCGTGTAGCACCCTTAAAACCCATAACCATCCCGCGTCTTGAGTTATGTGCAGCGCTACTGGGAGCGCGCCTGTTAGCAAGGTCAGTCACGCTCTTCGCTGTACACAAAAATACATTTTGGTCAGACTCCACTATAACTTTAGGCTGGATAAAGACACAACCGAAGTTACTTAAAACATTTGTCTGTAACCGAATAAATGAAATTCATGAATTAACGTCTAGAGACGCCTGGTGTCATATACCTACGGAAATTAATCCAGCGGATATGGCTTCCAGAGGTGTGGCTCCGACATGTCTTCTTAATTCTTCTCTGTGGTGGGAAGGGCCATCTTTCCTGAAGACAGTTGAATCTGAATGGCCGCAGAGTCCGAACACAAAGATATCTTTGCCGGAAATTAAAGTTTTGCAAACAAAATGTTTGCGCCACTTTGCACTATCGCTTAACGCTTATAAGGGATTCGTTAATTATTATCCAATAAGATTACTGCAAAGCCCATTTCCGGTTTCCTATCTACCGCATTTTATGCCCAGCATGTGCATTCGTGTTAACGGGCTCACACAAGTTGAGAAGACACGCAACCAACCGCATCGCTTATATCTCGCATCATCGCTCCCGCCCTTGTGTAATTTGGATATTGAATTATACAGGCATATAGTAAAAAGTATAGACATTTGCAATAACGCTATATTTCGTGATTATCTGCGAAGATTATCTGTGAAGTTGATAAGTGTGAAGAAAGCCGGCAGCCATCGAGACACGAGGCAGATCAGCGGAAGTCCAGGTGGGTGCACATGCATTCCTTCACGTCCTTCTTATATCCCGAATTTAGGCCATTTGCAGTATCACGAAAAAATTAAATTCCATTCACCGCTCGCACCACGCTCATATACAGTCCACTACTCTATTTAAATTAATAGTCGCACCACATAAAGTTATTTAATACATTTGAACCAGCAGTTTGGTCGTTAAAACCAAAACGCCAAACCCACCAAATTTTTTGGTCACTTCGGCCGGGATTAAATTAACCTTTCGGCCCGGAGAAGTAAATTAATTTTTTTTATATATTACAAAAAATTATATACGTATATATTATTAAATCATAATAAATTGTAGTTCTAATTATACTAACTACAATTTATATTTGCCCCGCATCGCTTATTACACGTATTTTTAAAATTAAATACACAACAACGTTACGATATTATGAAACAAAACAATTGTTGTATTAATTGTTTAAGTAATAAACACTCGACTTCTTTTTGTAAATCGAAGCGTAAGTGTATATACTGCGCGCGGCGCCACCATTCTTTAATTCATTCTGACCCGCATCAGAATGGTTCTAAGACTGCTTTTCGTAGTAGCAATACGTTACACTCAGAGGTTGTGCAGACGCCTAACGCTAATGCATGCAGCTCGCATTCGATTAACTACCGCACAGTTAACGATAATAAGGTTAATTCTTCTGTCGCTCACAATTCGAATACGGCGGAAGATGAAAAAACACTTACCTATTCATGTAATATTTCTCGCGATTATAGTACTCTCCCGCGCTATACTACTCGTACTTTATTGGGGACTGCAAAAATAAAGGTCGTAGATAAATACGACAATGAACATTTTATTCGGTGTTTAGTTGACCCCGGATCCCAAAGCGACTATATTACGAAGGATTGTTGTAAACGCTTATTTCTTTCCGTTTCGAATAAAAATCGTTTTACCGATGTACACGGGATCGGTGGTGTGTCCCAAAAGATTTTAGGTGTCACTTCACTGCAGTTCACGTCTCGTTTTAATGATAACAAATTTTATCATATTTAACCATTAGTTGTTCCGACGATCCGAGTTTTGATGTTTCAAAAATTCGCTATTTAGATAAAATACGCTTAGCA